AAATGACACCGTCTCACTATTTCGGCCATATCTTTTATTTTTACAAAATATTTTTATCTTATTTTAATTGGGTTAAAAATTAGACTTCAACAGCTTTCCAATGCCATATATTTATCTTATTCCGACATCTGGATCAAAAGATATGATATAAACAAAAAACGCAAAAACTGTTGTTTATCGCAATAGTATTATTCCAATTCGAATTCTTATCTTTTCTTAATTCTTCGACCCTTCTTTTTTCCTTATAAATAGAGGTGATATCACCCCTTTTTCAATTATCAACAAGCTTGATCATCAAATAATTCTCTTCTCCCTCTTTAGCCTAAACACTAACCTTCCCATTCCTAACTACATCATTCTTTCCTTAAGCACTCCAAGGAGTTCATATAATACCCAAAGTTCTATACTTAAACCAAGGCATGAAAGGTATAATTAACTAAGGGTTTTGACAAAATCAAATAAATTTTTATTTAATTTATTTGTTTCAATTTAATTTATATTTTTTTTATTGAAGTTACTAACAGTTTATTAATGATGTAGCAATTCAAGGAAACGCAGAAAGTGAGTAATTAATCACTTAATTACTCTTATTTTTATTCTTGTTGCTAGTATCATGATTAGGTTTATTTATATTTGATTTGAATAAAAATTTATTGTTAAATTTCTTCCAATATTAATGTTAATTCTTACATTTTTTATGATCACCATATTGCATGTTTAAAGGGAATATTTAATTCAAAATCACGCCTAATAAGATAATTTGGACAATAAGTTTAGGTTCCATTTTAATCTTGTTGTTTAATCTAGTGATCACAAATGTTTTAGAATTATACGTTGCATTAATATTCAACCAATTTAGCATAATAATAGTTTGGAGCAAATTGAATATTTTTTTACATGTCTTTGAGATCACAGGAATCACTTTTCACTATAAGAATCGAGTAGAGGCCAATACGGGCGAATGTGACTCCATGACTCACTTTGTACCATTATCCCCAATCCTCCTTTTGTTATTCCAAACCATATGGAGTTAGTAATCTCAAGGATTATGAATGGGGTGCAACCTTCACGGGTCAATCGTTGTTGCCTTTCGTTGTCCCTTGATCACGGTTGCCTTACATGATCCTTGAACGGTTTACAAGTTCCTTAAAAACTTGTTGGCGGCTCCCTACTTTGCTTGTCCCTAATTGTTTTATGTCAATTCCCACTTCGTATGAGTGCCAAGAATATTCACACATGCTTTAACGTAGGCGCACTTCTAGCGCCGCTTAAAGAATCCCTCGCTAAAGACTCTTGTTCAAGAGCCTTGCCCAACTTAACTAGATCCTTATCCTACCGCGCCGCTTTATCTGTCAGCGCGGCTATTTGAGTCTCCAGATGGACCCTTTGGATTGCGGTCGTCCCCGTCACCTCATCCCGGACCTTTTTCAATGTGACCTAGGCCTCCTTCAGCCGCTCGTTCTATCTCTCTTTCCATTCCATGAAGGCAGTGAGCCTGAGAAAGAAATGAACGCGGACAGAGAGTTGTTAGTAGTAGAAAATTAAGAAATATTGTCTAAGTATAAAAAGCTAAAATGACAAACAGATGCGGACGGTTACCTCGGCACTGCAGTTTATCATGGGACTGAGGAAGCCCTCGTTGATCCCTTATAGCTTGTCCCAAGGGTAAAAACATAATAATCAATCATCAGTAAATCAATTAGTCAGATCATAAAGGGATTTCGCAACGTATTACAATCACATAATTAATTTACCAGTATTAAATCTCATCTCTCGAATCTCGACTTAACCATTTATAAATTAGTTCGCCTATTGAAACTAAGCCTAAACATCAATTCTCATCTCTCGAATCTGAAATCCATATTGCTTAGCTCATACAAATTTAATCTGGCCAAATCTAATTATTACATAGCATTAAATCAATCAATAGGAAATTAATCAAACATTGACAATCAACAATATAAATTACCCCTTCATATTTTTCATGGATCCCCACAACACTAGAATAAAACTACTCGTGCATAATTAAAACTAAACTAACCAAAGAAATTAAATTAAACATATATAAACAAGAATTAAAATAAAGAGAATAATAATATTAAAACTAATAACAGCAAAGAGAACTAGAAAATAAAATCAAACTTTCATTAAAACTAAAAGAACAAAATTTAAAGCTATTGAAAACTAATGAATTGGAAGAAAACTAAATAAAGCTAAATTATGAAAGCTAATGAAGAAGTTGCATAAAAACATGAAAACTAAAAAAAACTAAAGTCAACTCTAAAGAATAAAACTATGAAATCCCCCTTAAACTAAAACTAAAGAAAAATATATGTAACTCCTCACAACCCAGTAATTGGGTATTTATAATTTCCCATTATAACCCACTAACCAACCTATATTTCACAACAAGGAAGCGCGCCCTACTGGGCCACGATCAGCTCGATCGGGCTTGGTGTTTTTACTAGCCCAGCAGCATACTCTTTGGATTGGGCTTCTTATTTAAGCCCAAATCTTTAACTTCCTTGATCCGTGGTACTAGCTTGTTCATTACTTGGACTTCCTCACCAATCAAGACCTATTAGTACGACCTTCAACTTTAAATACTCGGTCAAAAATGCGATCCGACTCTAATATTTTTGTAGTGATTCAATAAGTTCGGGAATTGACATAATTCTTCAAATTTCTGCAAAAAAATACCAACTCTACAAAAACACTAGAAATCGTATATTAGGAATAAATATAGCTCCACAGAGCTTAAATAAGCATAAATATGACCATAGAACGGGGAATAAATATATATATAAAATAGACTTATCAAACTCCCCCAAGCCAATCCTTTGCTTGTCCCTAAGAAAAGCAATGAATAAATAACTCAACACTTTACCCAAAATACAATTAAAATAAATAAATATAATTCATGGTAAATCTGACAAACATGTATCAAAGTCAATCAATCAAATCCATCCAACTACCAATCTGCCATAACAATTGCCAAGTAGAGCAAACCACAAGAGCATTTAGAATTCAAGTTTAGTGTTCACACACTCAATTCTCATTTATGTGGCGAGTAAAAGATGTACTCGATCTCTCTCCAACCAACCACTTTTAATGTGAACAATGCCCTCCCAAACTCACAACACTCGTGTGTTTAAAAGACATACACTCAACCGAGTAGTCGACTCGGAATATGTCAAATCATTCTTCGCATCGATAAACGACTAATTTCACATTCATACAACTCTATGCACAAAGGTCAAAAGGTCTTTAAAGCTTGTAATGTAAGGCTAGGGTAAAGGATAGGATAATTTTGGGAAAATGTGAGAGAAAAGCAATGCTTAAAGGGATACAAAACCTAATAAAACCCAAGGTCAAAAATAAATAATGACCAAACATCTCCAACATACTCAACTCCACCAAAAAATCACCAAACAACCAACCAATATTAACAATATTTTCAACACTTACAACTTCACTCATAAAAATATACTATTATAGAACTTGAGTTAAAAACAAACTTTGAACTATTTTTCATCAAACTTGAATATTTTTTTTCTTTGAAACTTATAACTTTTTCCTTAAATAACCTTCAATTAGAACAATTGAATATTGAAGCAATTTTTTTTTTCTTTTGCTCTTATTTTTTTCCTTTTTATCTCACATTGAAATTATTTTCAACTTTGAACAACTTTCAATTTTTTCTAATCAACAAAAATAAGAACAAATAAATAACTTCTCAAATTCACCCAAATTGTGCAAATCATGTGCACACTACAACTCCCTCACCTCACTAACTATTAGCTCCCGGAAGCCAAGCTTGGGACTAGTAACCAATGGGGATTAAATAGGCTTGTAATGTGGTTAAATAAACAATAAAAGGCACAAGCAACAACATGGGTAGCAAGAAGGGAACAAATGTATCTAATATCATATGAAGGCCTCCTAAAAGAATAAACGCCTTTGTCCTCCTCAATGTGAATAATAATGAGTCATACAAACACTACTCAAAGTTGCAAACAAATACTCAAATTCATTGACATACCATGAACTAACACACATATATACCTTACCAAATCAACTAGTCAAGCACTATATTCACAAGTAGTTGGGCAAAATTAACGCATATTAAGGTTTTAAGGCAGTCAAACATCAAATTATGATCAACTAATTCACAATATTTATCATCATTACTAAGAGTCAAAACAATTTTGAAAATTTTTCATCAAGGGGCACAGGGAAGCATGATTTATTATTCATTAGAACGTATTTTTGTTTTTTTTATTAATTTTTTTTTTGAAAGCAGTAAATCTAACCTAAAAAGCAATAAAATCTATACTAAAAAATCAATAAAAACTAGAGTATGAAAGCATTAAAACTAAACTAAGCAAACAAAGAAAATAAAAAGAAATGGGAAAGAAAGATTACCTATATATACAAGAAATTCCCCCCAAGCTAAATTAGACAATGTCCTCATTGACTTCAAGGGAAGTTAGTAACCCAAGTGACTACCCCTCATCATCAAACTCGTATCCACCACCATCCCAAACATTGCAATACATCACCTTGATACAATTTTGGACAAAAAGGAAACAAAGTGTTAGTAAGAGTAGAGGAAAAAACGAGTCATGTTCAATTTTTTGCTCATAACATTTTATATAAAAATGATAATGCAGTGATTCTAATTGCATTAGAAAGTAGAATTGAAGAGCTTTCCAAATAGGTCACACGCAAAATTTCGTTAAGAAACGCAAAAGTTATAGCGTTTTGAAGTCGACCAGATTTACTGCCGTGATCTCGCGTCCGACCAGGCGAGTGTGGCCCAATCAGGCCCGACTCCAAGGTACGGTCATGTGGTTTTTCACCACTTGATGCAAGAAATTTCTTCCTACACTCGATTTTCTTCGTTTTTGCCCTTGATTGAGTAAATATCACTCGATCGGGTGGAACTTTCACTACAGGCACAAACTCTATAACTTGTTCTTAATATCCACTTCTTCATCTTAAAACCCGAGTCCTACACAATTTATAGCTCTTTCTATAGCATCCACTTCATCTTTCCAAGTATTAGTTTTTCCTGCAGAAGATGCAACACAAGATACCGCCTCCATGGAATCATTAACAGGAGCTTGGGGCTTATTAGAAAAATTATTTACATCAACCACACCAATACTAAAACACTTTTCCTCTAACATGGGGATTTTAGGGATATTATTTAAATTAAAAGTGATGTTATCATCCCCTACACATAATGTAAGTTTACAACTTTTGACATCTATTATTTTGCCTGCATTATGAAGGAATGGTCTACCCAAAATAATCAAAATTCGCAAATCTTCCTCCGTATCAAGAACAATAAAATTAACAGGTATATAAAATTTACCTACTCTAACAGGAACATCCTCTAAAACATCTAAAGGGTATTTCACACAACGATCGACCATTTGCAGAGTAATATTGGTAGCTTTTAATTTACCCATATTTACTTTAGAGCTCAAAGATAATGGCATAACACTTACACTAGCACCCAAATCACATAAAGCTTTTTCAATCATCAGATTACCAATATTACATGGAATAGAAAAACTACCCGGATCTTTTAGTTTAGGTGGAGATTTATTCTGTAATATAGCACTACATTTTGCAGTAAAAGCAACCGTCTCTACCTCAATAATAGATCTATTTCTAGTCTAAATTTCTTTCATAAATTTAGAATATGCAGGAACTAGAGTAATTAAATCTGTGAAAGGAACTATTACCCGCAAATTCTTCTCAACCTCCAAAAACTTACCAAATTGCTTATCCAACTTACTCTTTAAATGTCTATGAGGGAATGGAAGTTTGATAGCAAGACCCTGCACATCTCCACTCTTATCCTAGGGTTTACCCTGCAAAAAATTATCAGAAAAGTTAGTTTTACTTTGTACTCCTATAGGGCTAGTAACAACATTATTTGGTTTAACAGAATCAAGATTAGCAATTTTTGTTGTAGCAGGTTCATCATCTTTGGGTATAGGAGGCCCATCATAGTTTGAACCACTCCTTAGAGTAATTGCATTTGCGTATTTTGTTGTTTATAATGGCTGTGATGGTAGGGCTCCCTGCTGGCGAGTTTGTAGAGTAGAGGAAAGTTGCGCAATCTGAGTATCTATTATTATATTATGTGCTATTAATGAGTCAATTTGAGCATCTCTACTTTGCATCTGCTTCTTCATATTGGCTAACATCGTTTTGATTTCTGATAGGCCAGAATCAAATGGAGGAGTAACAACTTGTTGTGGTCTCTGATGTGGAGGTTGGTAGTACCTCTGTTGTGGTTGTTGTACCTGTGGTGGAGGGTTAAGCACATTTGTACTATTTTACGACATATTTTGGTTATTTTTCAACCCTGTATTGTACGTGTTAGAGTATGGAGTAATTTTCTTATAGGTTCGAAAAGTATTAATCTTCTCAATTGAACTCCTACAGTCATGTGCCCAATGACCTACAAGACAACAATTTTCACAAAATATTGTAGAGTTAGTAAAAATAAAAGAAACATTAGCAACAGAAGATGAATTAGAATTATTAATATTGTCTAGTTTCTGGCTAATAGAAGTCAATTGTGTCTGCAAAAACAAAATAGAATCGACTTGGTGTTTTCCCTTATTTGCAAATCCTGTGGGATTCCCATATTGGGTATTATGAATAGCCATCTCTTCGACAACATTGCTCGCTATATTCTCATCCAAATTCAAAAATCTTCCGTTAGCTGTAGAGTCCAAAATCATTCTTGAATTATATCCAAGCCCTTTATAGAAGGCTTGGATTATCTGCCATTATAGTAGTTTATGATGGGTACATTATCTCTACAAATCCTTAAATCTTTCCCAATTTTCATATAAACTTTCATCAGCTTCTTGGGCAAAATTTTTTATTGCACTCCTTAACAAAGTTGTCCTCTCTGCAGGGTAATATTTATTATAGAAATTCAAAGCAAGAGTTTCCCAGTCAGTAATACCAAGTGCAGTTCTATTCAATCCATTATACCATAATTTAGCTTTACCACATAAAGAAAAGGAAAAAGAAACTCCATGATTTGGTCTTGTGTGACCCCAGCTTGCCTAATCGTATTGCAATACTGACAAAAATTTGCAATGTGAAGATTAGGGTCTTCACCCTTAGCTCCACTAAATTGCTTTCTTTCGATCATCATGATAAACTGGGGCTTGATCTCGAATTGAACTCCATCGAGATTAGGTGAAGGAGCAAGATGTGGAAAATCTGTCAGGGATGGCTGCGAATAATCGTTAAGCTTGTGATAGGCCGTCGTCGAGCCTACCAAAGATAAATTCCTATCTTGGTCTCACTAGCTAATAGCAAGGGTAAGAAAGGGTCGAACCCAAGAGAGGTGTTGAATCAACCACCGAAATACTACCGCATAAATAAGCTAAATGAAGTCGAAATTGGTTTGGTTTTATGTAACAAGTGCTAGTTCAAGTCAACTAAAGCTAGGGGGAGATTAACAATACTTAGAGAGTTCTAGGGCTTGGGATATACCACTCAATTTCGTCAAAAATCACAATTAGTAAGTAGCAACCAATGGTAATTTGAGGGGATAATATTGGGGAAGTCATCTAAAGCACCCACCTACTCTCTCAAGCTAGAGGGATTACTCGAATAATGAATACAACCTACTCTCGTGGTTACAAAGCATAAAACAAGTATTAAAGCATAATCACGATGAAAAAAACATTCCCTTGACTGGAAATTCCTATTCTCATGGCATTTCAAGTCAATTAAGCATAAGGGAGCTAACTCAAGTTCATCTCTCGATGGTTCGTTGAGAAAGCTTAAATAATAGTTCTAGCAATGGCCATATACAAGAGCTAAGTAATTAAACCACTTAAACTCAACTAATTAACACCCAACAATTACCAAATTAACACATCCAACAAGTAATTAGTGACTACATTGAGGGTTTTACCCAAACCCTAGGAAATTAGACTACTCACAATCCATGGAGATAAAAGCAATTAAGGATTTAAGTAACTCATGCTCAAGAATTACCTAAAGATTAAGCTAAATAAAAATCTAAGCATACAAGAATTAAGCAAGATAATTAACAATCAAAGCAATTAAAATGGAAGAGAAGAGTGAGAAAATGTTACTAGAAGCTTCAACTTGAATATCAATGGTGGAACTTGTCTTCTACAATGATTGAGAATGAAATTTCCAAGCTAATAATTATAATCTAACTAATGATTTGAGAATATTTGTGTTTCTACAATTGCAAACTAAGAGGAAGCACTAAAAACTTGGATGTCGTACAAATGAGCTCAAGGGGTTATTTATAAAGACCCCAAATAAAAAGGACGGAGAAAACAAGAGTCGGGCACGGCTACAGGTCAGCGTGGACGTGCTGATGTTAGCACGGACGTGCAGCTATACCAGGACGGACGTGCTGAGGTTGGCACGGACGTGCACCTGGGAGGCAGAAGGTACTGTTTTGGCCAGGGCATCCTGCACGGACGTGCCAAATATGGCACGGACGTGTAGGCGTTTTTCAGTAGAATCAGTTTTGAAACTGCTTTGGGCTGAGCAACCTGTACGAACGTGCAGGATCAGGCGCGGACGTGCTGGATCAGGCACGGACGTGCTGGATCAGGCACGGACGTGCTGAATATCCTGCACGGACGTGCAGGCCTTGAAAGCAGTAGGCAGTAGCTTCTGGTCGTGCTGGAACACTTCTACACGGACGTGCCATACTTTGCACGTCCATACATACTCTCTAAGGCCTTTATCTTCACTTTTCTTCAGTTTTGCTCCATTATTTCGGCTTCTAACCTCGGTTTATCATCCAAATGCCTCAAATGGTCGTTTTTGAACCTAAAAACCCAACAAAAACACTAACAACCTGTGAAGCAAGGGATACACAAAAGTTAAACAAAAGTAGAGTAAAAGTGAACCAAAATGCCAATATACCATGTAAACAAGGTTCGAAATCACTCTAAAATCGTATCAAATAACAAGTTATCAAATCCCCCCAAGCTAAGCTTTTGCTAGTCCTCGAGCAAAACAAACATGTCAAATCAAGAAGGAATATTACTTGCTAATGATCAAACCAAGGAAAGATACTTAAAGAGAAAACACAAACACAAATCCGCATGAAAAGAACCATAAACACTTTTAGCACAAGTGAAAAGAAATTTAAACCCCTAAGTCGCCTAAGAGGACGAGTTTTTATCTCGTGAGGGTTTCCCTTGAGCTTAACCCACAACTCACAAAAACCATGCCAAAATTTTCAAAGCACATCATCATAATCAAGGTGATAAATAGACACCAAAACCAGTGTTTTTATTGCCCAAGTCAACTCATCGGGATATAAATCACAAGCAAGACAAGTGAGCGACTTTCAAGAATTACCGATCATACAAATGTGCACATGAGTTGGGGGTAGAGAGGATAATTAAGTAAGGTTGCACTAGGATACTTCCTTATACCTTTTACTAGTTCATTAGAGCACGTCTAGATATTCCAAAGTTGCAAAAAAAGCCCTATTTCGGTTATAAAATCTCAAAACGCAAGTCCACCTCCCAAAATGCACTCCCAAGCCCTTTCAACTACGCTCTAATTCGGAAATTTACACAAGAAACATCTTAATAGATAGTGTGTGGGAGGCATCCACAAATTGACCTCTATAGAAGAAAAAGTGAAAACTTTGAGAAATTTGGAGGAGTTTTTGATCTCCTTTTCTTTTTCTATTTTTTTTTCTTTTCTTTTCTTTTTTTTTAACATTCATTTCCCTCGCCTCTTTTAACTGTAAGCGGCACTTTCTTTTATTCGATACATGTGTCTTATTATGCCACTTATTACACAAGATAAACATAGAACCAATTCCCTAATAGAGTTTCATGTTGGGGGAGGAGGGGAAGAACATCAAGGGCACAAGGGACCGCAATTCGATTCAAACATATCCTACTTTGGGCAAATTTGACAATATCCTATACTAGACGTGCAATTGAGCATTCATCGGTTTTCATTTCATATACTCTAATGCAATAAAGATTAATAAGCCTCTAAATGACCCCAACTCTTGCACACACCCTTCTAAAATAACTTTTACTCATCACTCAAGAGTCAAGAAAGCAAATCATATAAGCATCGTCATTTGAGTCTCATCCAAGGGCCATTTTTCCTTTTTTTTTTTAGGCAAGAATAGATAAAAAGTTAAGAAAACTAAGCTAATCATAAAAAAAAATGAAGCACAACTATACCTCTAAATAAATAAAGAGAGAAGAGAAGAGAAGTATTCACATAATTAAGAGATTTGGATTTAGGGTGTTGGATTTCAAAGGGAGAAAATTTGGATGTTTAGGGGTTTGGATGCTAGGGGAAGGAACAAACAACATGCAAAGTTTATACCAACAAGAATATACAAGAACCAACATATGAACCAAAGAGAAAGACTCCCCCAAGCTATCATAAACATTGTCCCCAATGTTAAAACAATTAATGCACAAGAAGGGGGAGAAAGAGAACTAACTCATTGGCTCGGGCTTCCTTGGGAGCCCCCGGGGTACCAATGTCGGTAGATGTTCCGGAATTCACCCAATTCCGATCGAAGACCCTCAAAGCTTGTCCTCATATTGTCGTAGGAGGACCTCATGTCTTCGTGAGACTTTCTCATAGTCTCGAACTCAGTGGACATGCGGTTGAACCCGACATTCATCATTTGCATTTGTTGCTCGAAGGAAAGGGGTGGGTTGCCCTCACCCATGCCTTGACCTTGGTACCCTTCTTGGTACCCTTGTTGGTGCTCATATTATTGTTGTTGTTGGAATTGTTGTTGGAAATGTTGTTGATGCGGTTGTTGTTGTTGTGGTTGTTCTTGCCCTTGCTCATGCTCTTCTTCATCATCACCGGGAATCCAAGGGTGGTCCCTCTCAAAGACCCAGTTGCTCTCATTGTAGATGAAGGTCCGCTCCGGATCGGGGAGGTAGGTATAGGGGCGGCCACTCACGTGCCACAACTAAGGATGCGGCCCTTCCACGTCCGCAACCCATCTCATGGTCCTAAGCGACTGCATGTCTATCTGCGTCGGCCCTTGGCAAACCTGCTCATCTGCAAAATCAAGGTTAAGAGCAGAAGAAATAATAGTGATCATGCCACCTATGGTGATGTTGCCGGACCTAGTGGCAACATCCTCTAGGTGGTCGACTAACCAGGCCCCTACATCTAGGGCCGTACTACCATCGCTCAAGTGCCATAGGAAGTGAAGCTCCCTAGTGGACACTACACCCGAACTATCACCTCTAGCGAATGTTGTGCTCGCTATGGTGCGCTGTGACATCCTAAAGGCGGGGTGGATTATGGCCGTAGCTTTATCAGTCCTAGGGTTGTAGTCGAAAAGGCTGGTGATCTTCCTCCAAAACTCACCCGCACAATAGTTACGGGGGGGGGGGGGGGGGCTATCCTTTGGTCTTATAGTTCCGTTAATTGGCCACCCAAAAGCTTGGTTCACCCTCTTTATGTTCAAGTTGTGTTGGGTGTTCATGAGTTGGAAGGTAAGGCGGCGGGGGGATCTATTGTTGTCTCTTTGCACTTGAAGAGTGGAGAGGAATTAAAGTGTCAACCTTTTGTAGGTCGGGGCGCTTAAATCTAGCCAATTTCCTAAGCCACAACCCTCGAAAAGCATCCTAACATCGTCCCCTACCCCTAAAGCCTCGGCAACACTCTCGTCATAGAACTTTGTAGGTCGAACTCTCCTCCTACTTATTCTTATGTAGTTGTTCAAAAATGTTGGGTCATTGAACACAATTCCCATAGTGTCCACTTGTGGTGGATCAACAGGATGAGGAGGAGAGGGGTTGCGGTACCTAGCATCCGTGTTTCTAGGTCGATTTCTTCTAGACATGGTCGGTCTTAATGCAATGCAATCAAACAAACCAAGACAAAATAATCACCTTGCAACCACACAAAGAGACTAAGTCCACAAGTCGACCAACCAAAGCTCAAACAAGGCCAATGAACACCACACAATCAAGTCAAGTTCTAAGTCTCCCACCTAAAACAAGCAAATCACCAAGCAACAAAGACCACTTCAATAATGCATCTGCAACAATTCTACATCGATTTCATGCAATATTATCAAACAAACCAACACAACAATCCACCTAAACAAGCATGTTCTTCCTTCATGGAAATCAATTTTTCAACCTCACTTACAAAAAATCCAATTCTCAAAACACACCAAAATTCATTCAAACTTAATAATGCTTTTCAATTATCAACTATCAATCACTCACAGCCAATTCAAACAAAATTTCTCAAGCAATTTCATGCAAAAAATCAAGGAATTAAACACGAAATTAGTGAAAGGGAGGAACGATTATACCGAGCTTATCGTGGGTGTAAAACCCGCAAATGAACCTTTTTAACCTTCCTTTTGCTTAATTGAACTTATTCCTTCAACCAATTGTCTTGAACTTTAACTCCAAATAAAACCCACAAATTGATTTTACAAGGTTAGGGTTTGAGTATTTTGGGTGATTTTTGGGTTTGAATGTGAGAAAAGGAGTACTAGATTGTGAAAATGTTGAAATGGAGTGAAGATTTTGGAGAAAATTGTTGAATTTGGGTGAGGATTTGGGTGAGAATGGAGAATTGAGTGGGTTTTCAAGGAGGAAGTAAGAGTTTTAGAGAGAGGAGGAGTGAGAATCGTGAGATAGAGAGTGAAGGAGTGAATTTTTTTTTTTATGTTATAATCGTGCTGCTGCCAGCCATTTTTAGGGCGGCACGGACGTGCAACATGTGGCACGGACGTGCAACATGTGGCACGGACGTGCAGCCTTAGACAAAAACGTGGGTAAGGTACTGAATTATTTGGCACGGACGTGCAATATGCGACACGGACGTGCTAGGTTGCACGCACGTGCGTAATTTGGCACGGACGTGCAGCCTCAGACAAAAACTTAGGTAACATACTGACTTGTTTAGCTCGGACGTGCAGGATTTAGCACGGACGTGCTTAGCCACCTTGCACGGACGTGCTTAATTTGGCACGTCCGTGCCAATCTGGAGAAATTTATTTTAAAATTTCTGATTGCTTCTGACTGCCTCTGCACGGACGTGCTATTCTCTGCACGTCCGTGCAGACCTGCTGCTGCACGATCCTTTCCCCCTTTTTTTTTGAGAATAATAGTAATAGTAAGGCATAATAATAATAAAATTATTATCATTACCATTATTATTATTATTATTATCTACTACTTCACTTCCACAAAAACCTTTTCTTACTTTTCTTTTCATCAACACCTACAAAAGACATTGAGAGAAAAGTTAGTAATAGTAAGAGTGATGAAAATTAAATAATAGTTTGTGAGAGAAAGAGAGTTGAGAAACTCGGGTTGCCTCCCGGAAGCGCTCTTTTAACGTTACTAGCTTGACGACGTTGCGAGATCAATGAGAGTAGGGAACATCAAACTCATCAAGGTGAACAACCTTGGCTTCCTCATGCACAAAACCGTCAAAGTATGCCTTAAGCCTTTGGCCATTCACTTTGAACGGTTCACCATTGTCATTTGAGATTTATATCGCTCCATATGGAAACACCTTCTTAACGGTGAAAGGTCCACTCCATCTTGACTTAAGCTTACCTGAAAACAACTTTAATCGAGAATTGAATAGTAGGACCTTATCACCTTCCTTAAACTCCCTTTTTCTAATATGCTTGTCATGCCAAGCCTTGGTCTTTTCTTTTTAAATCCTTACACTCTCAATGCATCCATTCTTAATTCTTCCAAGGCGTGGAGGTCAAGCAACCTCTTCTCACCGGCGCTTTGAAGGTCGAAATTCAATGTTTTGATAGCCCAATGAGCCCGATGCTCAAGTTCTATTGGCAAGTGGCATGACTTCCCATAAACAATATTGTATGGTGTGGTGCCAATAGGAGTTTTGAACGCGGTGTGATAGGCCCATAGAGCATCATCAAGCTTTGTAGACCAATCTTTTCTAGACCTATCCACCGTTTTATCATGGATCATTTTTACCTCCCGGTTTGAAATTTCAGCTTGACCACTTGTTTGGGGGTGGTAAGCTAATGACACCTTATGTCTCACACCATATTTCTCAAGGATAGCTTGAAAGGAACGCTTTGCAAAGTGTGAACCTCCATCACTAATCACAGCCCGGGGAACTCCAAACCTTGGAAAAATTACTCTTTTGAAGAGCTTGACCAAAACCTTAGCATCATTAGTAGGAGATGCAACCGCTTCCACCCACTTTGATACGTAATCAATGGCCACTAGAATGAACTTGTTCCCAAAAGAGCTCGGGAAAGGCCCCATAAAATCGATGCCCCATACATAAAAAATTTCAAGTTCAAGGATGTTGTTCAAAGGCATTTCATTTCTTTTTGAAATATTACCGGTTCTTTGACACCGGTCAGAAGCTTTCACCACACCCCACACATCTTTGAACATTGTTGGCCAAAACAAATCGCATTGCAATATTTTCGCCAAGGTCTTGTTGGCACTCATATGTCCTCCACAAGGTGAGGAGCGACACATTGTGATAACATCTTCAATTTCATTATCCGGGACACACCTTCTAAAAAGGCCATCAACACCTTGTTTGAAGAGCAAGGGGTCGTCCCAAAAGTATTAGCGAACATCATGAAGAAACTTCCTTTTTTGTTGATAGGAGAGGTCGGGAGGAAGAATAGAGCAAGATAAGTAGTTTGAAATGTCCGCAAACCATGGTGCTGGTGCTTGGAGAATAGCAAATAGTTGATCATCCGGGAATGAATCGTCGATTGGAAAGTTATCAAGATCACCTACAAGGATAGGCAACCGTGAAAGATGATCGACCACCACATTTTCGGAACCCTTCTTGTCCCTAGTCTCAATGTCATAGTCTTGTAAGAGCAAGACCCACCGTAACAATCTTAGCTTTGGTTCCTTCTTAGACAAGAGGTACTTCAAGGACGCATGGTCGGTGAAGACTATGACTTTAGATCCTAACAAGTATGACCTAAATTTCTCAATTGCATGAACAATGGCTAGAAACTCCTTTTCCATGGTTGTGTAATTCCTTTGTGAATCATACAAAGTTTTGATAGTGTAGTAGATAGCATGGAGCTTATTATCCTTCCTTTGTCCAAGAACGGACCCAATGGCAAAATCCGAAGCATCACACATAAGCTCAAAAGGAAGCTCCCAATTAGGGGGTTGAATGATAGGAGCTGAAATCAATGCCTCCTTCAACCTATAAAATGCTAGCAAACAATCATTAGTAAACACAAAAGGGGCATCCTTTACCAACAATTGAGTGAGCGGCTTTGCGATTTTTGAAAAATCCTTTATGAACCGGCGGAAAAAACCCGTGTGTCCAAGAAATCTCCTTATCCCTTTCACATTTGTAGGGGGTGGGAGGCGCTCAATGACCTCAATTTTGGCACGATCTACTTCAATGCACCTACAAGAAATTACATGACCAAGAACAATTCCTTCTTCTACCATGAAATGACATTTTTCCCTATTCAAAACCAAGTTCACCTCTTGACATCTTTTCAATACTTTAATCAAATTCGAAAGGCAAATGTCAAAAGATGAACCAAAAACAGAAAATTCATCCATGAATACTTCAATTGATGATTCAAGCATATCGGAAAAAATAGACATCATACACCTTTGAAATGTGGAAGGTGCATTACAATGTCCAAATGGCATCCTTCGATAAGCAAAGGTGCCAAAAGGGCATGTGAATGTAGTCTTCTCTTGATCCTCGGGTTGGATTGGGATTTGGAAGAATCCCGAGTATCCATCCAAGAAACAATTGTGACTATGTGATGCTAGTCTTTCCAATATTTGATCGATGAAGGGGAGTGGGAAGTGGTCTTTCCGGGTGGACTTATTCAATTTTTGATAATCAATACACATCCTCCACCCGGTGACCGACCTCGTAGAAATGGTCTCACCCTTATCATTCTTGATGATGGTCATGCCTCCTTTTTTAGGCACAACTTCAACCGGGCTAACCCACTTACTATCGGAGATAGGGTAGATTAAGCCTGCTTCAAGAAGTTTTAAAACTTCTTTTTTCACAACTTCCTTCATGTTTGGATTGAGCCTTCTTTGGTGCTCAATCGAGGAAGCATGATCATCATCAAGTAAAATCTTATGCATGCGTATAGTAGGACTTATCCCCTTAATATCATCAATTTTGTACCCAATGACACCTCTATACTCCCTTAAAACAACTAGGAGTTCCCCAAGAGAGGTATCATCAAGTTTAGCATTGACAATAATGGGATAACTCTCACTATCATCAAGAAAAGCATATTTAAGTAAAGGAGGAAGGGGTTTAAGTTCAACCTTGTGAGGAGGTGTAGTCCTCTCCTCTTTTACCTCCACATTAAGCACTTCCACTTTCTTTTCGTTGTGCACTAAAGGTTGGTTGAGCAAAAGATCATACCCCATTGTTTCTTCACCTTCCTCAACTAAGCCTCCCGTTAGAATAGCTTGCAAAGGATCTCCTTCAAACAAATTCTCTTGGAACTTCTCTAAGTCCCTTTCCAATGTATCAACTCTATGAACTTCATCATACAATGTCTTTTTCAATGTTTGTGGGAATGAAATTGATATTTTCTCATCTCCAACATTTAAGGTCAATCTTCCTTGCTTCATATCAATCACAACACCCGCGGTGTTCAAAAACGGTCTTCCCAAGATTAGGGGCACCGTAGTATCTTCTTCCATTTCCATTACCAAAAAATTACATGGCAAAAATACACTTCCAACTTGAACCAGCACATCTTCAAGAATTACCAAAGGTAGCCTAACCGTGCGGTCGGCCAATTGTAAGGACATTCTTGTTGGCTTCAAGTCTCCCACTTTCAAACTCTTAGCGATAGAATAGGGCATCAAACTCACACTTGCCCCAAGATCACATAAAGCATCCATAGCCTCTAAGTCTCCAATCTTCATCGGTAATGCATAGATACCGGGGTCACCAAGCTTTTGAGGAAGCTTGTTTTGAATGATTGCACTCACCTCCTTAGGAAGGGAGATGGTTGTACTCTCTTCAAGCCTACTCTTGTTGGATAAAAGATCCTTCAAAAATTTTGCATATGTAGGCATTTGTGAAATAGCATGAAGAAAGGGGATATTCACTTGAAGTTCTCTCATGACTTCAAGAAAGTTTGAAAACTTTTCATTCAATTTCTTTTCAACAATCCTATGAGGGAATGGAATGGGAGGCTTGTATACTTTCATGGGGGCTTTTCTACCTTTTCCTCATCTCCCTCGTTCTTACTTTGTGGCTCGTTTCTCTCAACATAAACTATCTCATTTTCAAACTCACCCTCATTTCTCACCACAACTCCCTCATCTCTCTTTTGTGGCTCCTCTTCACTCATAACCAACCCTTCATAAACTCTCCCCGATCTCAAAGTAATGGCCTTATCTTGCTCCTTTGGGTTCACAACCGTTGAGCTTCGGAAGTGACCACTAGGATTGGAGGATGAACTTCCAACTTGTTGCGCAATTTGAGCCAATTGATTCTCAATTATCTTGTTGTGTGCTTGAAGTTGTTGGATGTTCGCTTGCATATCCGCATTGCTTCTTCCTTGTTGTGTAATGAAGGTCTCAAGTGCGGCTTTTAGGCTAGATTTTTGAGGAGGTGAAGGAGCGGGTTGGTTATATTGTTGCCTTTGTTGGTTTTGATCCCTTTGGTTAGGATGACGGTAAGGAGCTTGTTGGTTTTGTGGATGAGATTGGTTGTATTGGTTTTGAGGGGGCCTTGATTTTGTTGTTTCCAACCCGTATTTTGTTGGGGTTTCCAACCTTGATTTTAGGGTTGAGAGTATTAATCGTTTCTTTGCCCAATAGCCGCAGCTTGCTCTTGGTTAGTTGAGTTGCAATAGGAGGACAAGTGATCATTTCCTCCACAAGTTTCACAAGACATGACTTGTTGTGAAGAAGAGCTTGGAGATGTAAGGGTGGCTTGATCTAGCTTGTGAGCTAGCATGTCGAACTTTGATGCAATAAGGTCTATTGCACTAAGGTCGTGGATTCCGCCCTTCTTTGCTTGAGGTTGCCTTCTATCACCTCCGTATGCATAGTGCTTTGCCACTTCTACAATCATCTTGTATGCATCATCTACCGATAGCTTTTTAAGGCTACCACCGGCCCCGTTATCAAGGTTGGCCCTTGAAGTAGGAGTAAGACCATCATAAAAGCTTTGAACAATGATCCATGATGTGAAACCATGGTGTGGGCATTCTCTAGTGTAGTCCTTGAAACGCTCCCAAGCTTCACTTAAGGTTTCATCAATCTCGTGGTTGAAATTGGTGATTTTCCTTTTTAGTTCGGCGGTCTTTTTGGGTGGACAATACTTTCCAAGGAAAGCTCTAGTGACTTCATCCCATGTGGTCAATGATCCCTCTTCTACCGTTCTCAACCAATGCTTTCCTTTGTCATGGAGGGAGAATTGAAACATGTGCATACGGATGAACTCTTCTGTAATGTTGTCTTGCTTGATGGTTGTGCACAATTCGAGAAAGTTGTCCAAATGAGTAAAAGGACACCCATTAGAACTCCGACCAAATTGATCACTTTGTATCATACAGATGAGTTGAGGTGAAAGCTCAAAATTATTTGCATTCGTAGTAGGGAGAGGTATGCCACTCCGAAGTGTGAAGGCATTGGGGTGGTCATAATCTCGTAACAATGGTGGAGGAGGATTGTTATCACCCATGTTATCTTCTTCGTTGGTTGCAAAGATTTCCTCCGGATTGGAATCCGAATATACAATAGAGAACTCGGGTGTGCCTTGCAAAAGCCTCCTCACGTTTCTCATAGTCCTATTTAACTCTAGATCAACGAGAATAAGCGGCAATTGCTTACTCTTCCGTGTCATGTAAGGTCAAACAAAGATAAGAAAAACGTTAGCAATGACTATCACAAGTTGAAAACACAAAAATACAAAAACAAATAAGAAAATTTATGATAAAAATATACACACTTAGACTCATTCAACAATAATACATTCAATTTGACTTTGCGTCCCCGGCAACAGCGCCAAAATTTGATAAGCCATCGTCGAGCCTACCAAAGATAAATTCCTATCTTGGTCTCACTAGCTAATAGCAAGGGTAAGAAAGGGTCGAACCCAAGAGGGGCGTTGAATCAATCACCGAAATACTACCGCATAAATAAGCTAAATGAAGTCGAAATTGGTTTGGTTTTATGTAACAAGTGCTAGTTCAAGTCAACTAAAGCTAGGGGGAGATTAACAATACTCAGAGAGTTCTAGGGCTTGGGATATACCACTCAATTTCGTCACAAATCACAATTAGCAAGTAGCAAACAATGGTAATTTGAGGGGATAATATAGGGAAAGTCATCTAAAGCACCCAACTACTCTCTCAAGCTAGAGGGATTACTCGAATAATGAATACAACCTACTCTCGTGGTTACAAAGCATAAAACAAGTATTAAAGCATAATCACGATGACAAAAACATTCCCTTGACTGGAAATTCCTATTCTCGTGGCATTTCAAGTCAATTAAGCATAAGGGAGCTAACTCAAGTTCATCTCTCGATCCTTCGTTGAGAAAGCTTAGATAATAGTTTTAGCAATGGCCATATACAAGAACTAAGAAATTAAACCACTTAAGCTCAACTAATTAACACCTAAAAATTACCAAATTAACACATGCAACAAGTAATTAGTGACTACATTGAGGGTTTTACCCAAACCCTAGGAAATTAGACTACTCACAATCCATGGAGATTAAAGCAATTAAGGATTTCAAGTAACTCATGAACAAGAATTAACTAAAGATTAAGCTAAATAACAATCTAATTATACAAGAATTAAGCAACATAATTAACAATCAAAGCAATTAAAATGAAAGAGAAGAGTGAGAAAATGTTACTAGAAGCTTCAACTTGAATATAAACGGTGGAACTTGTCTTCTACAATGATTGAGAATGAAATTTCAAGCTAATAATTATAATCTAACTAATGATTTGAGAATATTTGTGTTTCTACAATTGCAAACTAAGAGGAAGCACTAAAAACTTGGATGCCGTACAAATGAGCTCAAGGGCTTATTTATAAAGACCCACAAATATAAAGGACAGAGAAAACAAGAGTCGGTCACGGCAACAGGTCAGCACGGACGTGCTGAGGTTGGCACGGACGTTCACCTGGGAGGCAGAAGGTACTGTTTTGGCCAGGGCATCCTGCACGGACGTGCCAAATATGGCACTTACGTGCAGACCTTGTTCAGTAAAATCAGTTTTAAAACTGATTTGGGCTGAGCAACCTGCACGGATGTGCTGAATATCCTGCACGGACGTGCTGAGCTATGCACGGACGTGCAGGCCTAAAAAGCAGTAGGCAGTAGCTTCTTGTCGTGCTGGAACACTTCTGCACGGACGTGCCATACTTTGCACGTTCGTGCAGACTTTCTAAGGCCTTTATCTTCACTTTTCTTTGGTTTTGCTCCATTGTTTCAGCTTCTAACCTCGGTTTATCATCCAAATTCCTCAAATGGTCGTCTTTGAACCTAAAAACCCAACAAAAACACTAACAACCCGTGAAGCAAGGGATACACAAAAGTTGAACAAAAATAGAGTAAAAGTGAACCAAAATGCCAACATACCAAGTAAACAAGGTTCGAAATCAGCTTGCGAACAGGATGAGGTGGTGGTGGTGCAATTATCTCTGATTCTTGATCTGTACTAAACAAATAAATATGAGAAACTGTCCCAAAGAACTTACGTTTTATGAGACGAAAATAATAATAATAATAATAATAATAATAATAATAATAATAATAATAATAATAATAATAATAATAATAATAATAATAATAATAATAATAATAATAATAATAATAATAATAATAATAATAATAATAATAATAATAATAATAATAATAATAATAATAATAATAATAATAATAATAATAATAATAATATTAATAATAATAATAATATTAATAATAATAATAATAATAATAATAATAATAATAATAATAATAATAATAATAATAATAATAATAATAATAATAATAATAATAATAATAATAATAATAATAATAATAATAATAATAATAATAATAATAATAATAATAATCTAGACTAAAAAATTTAATCATAAATAAAAATAAAACCGTTTCCCCGGCAACGGCGTCAAATTTTGACAGGCTAAAGTCGTAACACCTAATCATAAGTAATTCCTAAAACCACTAAATAAAATAGATAGGGAAGTAGGGTCAAATCCACAGGGAAGCAATGTTCTTTTATTTCTAATAAATTATTATAATCTAAATTATCAAGTAACCAAGTTGTCGTATTAAAGGAATTAAACTAAGGAGATTATGAATAGGGAGAAATAAAAGTAGGGAGAAATCAATTAATAAAATCCTAGGGTATAAGTTCACCAATAAATAATATTCCAGGGTAAAACATAATAATTAATTTACCGGTATTAAATCTCATCTCTCGAATCTCGACTTCACCATTTATAAATTAGTCCGCCTATTGAAACTAAACCTAAACATCAATGCTCATCTCTCGAATCACGAATCAATATTACTTAACTCATATAAATTAAATCTGGACAAATCTAATTACATAGCATTAAATCAATCAATAGTAAATTAATCAAACATTATCAATCAACAATAATAAATTACCCCGTCATAATTTTCATTGATCCCCACAACCTTAGAATAAAACTACTCGTGCATAATTAAAACTAAACTAACCAAAGAAATTAAATTAAACATATAAAAAAAAGATTTAAAATAAAGAGAATAATAATATTAAAACTAATAACAACAAAGAGAACTAGAAAAAAAAAAGCAAATTTTAAATAAAACTAAAAGAATAAAATTTAAAGCTAATGAAAACTAATGAATTGGAAGAAAAACTAAATAAAGCTAAATTATGAAAGCTAATCAAGAAGTTGTGTAAAAACATGAAAACTAAAAATGACTAAAGTCAACTCTAAAGAATAAAACTATGAAATCCCCCTTAAACTAAAACAAAAGAAAAACTTATTTAACTCCTCACAACCTAGTAATTGGTTATTTATAATTTCCATTATAACCCACTAATCGACCTATATTTCACAACAAGGAAGCGCGCCCGCCCGAGCCACGATAAGCTCGATCGGGCCTGGTGTTTTTACTAGATCAGCAGCATCCTCTTGGGATTGGGCTTCTTAATTAATCCCAAATCTTTAACTTGCTTGATC